CAGAAGATTCAAACATACCTCAACCACAAAACATATCCATGTCTTCTCACCGTGCACTTCTGTAATTCCTTTCAATATTGTCAGACCTAAACTTCTGATAGCTTCTGCTATCTCAAGAAAATGACTGCATTCCTCGCATAACATCTGCATGGATCAAATGGATACTTCTAAATATTCAGAAATAAACAAAACCAATGACAAATACATGGCTGCAAGCCTGAAACAATAATGGACCTAGCTTGAAATTTACAGATCCAACATGTATTTACCTCTACGAGCATCTGTCCATTTTTGTTTAGATTTTCTACTATTATTGATGAGACCTTTAGATGGCCTCCCACTTCCACTGCCCAGCTCGAACCCTGTTCATAATTTGAGGCATCTGTTCCCTTCTGATGCATCTGCAAATTCAGCCATTCAGATGCATGTAAGCAGTAAAACACTAATAGAACAGAATAACATGATATGATCTTTCCTAATTAAATTGTATAGTTCAACTTGCTGATTATTAAACATTAAGTTGATAAAAAACACCCGGCAACAAAGACTCCAGACTGAAGCATGGTACTCAACATAGAACCATAATTATACTATCAACTGAGAGATGCAATAACAGAATTTACAAATCTGCATTTATTGGTGTAAATTCCTTACAGAAAGCAAACATGAATGGAGGATTAAGAATTTTAAATTTCCATGAGTAAACATATGAAGGAGGTTGAGCAAGTCGCTGAGCACATAAACAGAAACAGGGCCCTTGCAAGGAACATGTGTCAGCCCCTACCTTTGGTTCAGCACATTTATTGAGCTTGTCAGCATGCTTTGTAATGTTTTCTAGAAAGAGCATGTGCTTGATTGTGCGCTCCAGCAACGAATCTATACTGCACTGCACAATTTATAACAAAATATTCAGAACAAGTCATGCACAAGATTTTCCTGAATAGGAAATGTGACCACTAAACTGTCAAAAATTACGCTAGATCATGGAAAAGTTACCTTAGCTCCATTGGGCACAAGCTCTCTCAGCTCCTTGATGCGATCTTGGATCAGTTGTCTGTCCCTTGGCCGAGGCCTGCAATTTTCACCAGGTTTAGCCCTTTTTTTGTTGTTCTTAGCTGATTCTGAAAGCTTATCCAACTGCTCACTATAGGTACTTGGACAAGTTGATGAAAATCCTTTGGAAGACATTCCACCACACACTTCTGTCGAGTTAGATAAATTCTGTACATCCTCTTCAACAACAGAGGACTGATTAATTGAATAACCTGCTGAATTCATGATATGCTTGGTCTGGATAGAGGGCTCAGGCAATTTCTCAGCTGTTAACAGAGACTGCACTGATTTACAACCTGATTTCTCACTTTTAACATCACTGCCACTATGGCAAACATTGCCTACTACTGCTTCTAAAAGATTCTCTGAGCCAAAGTCAAATGTCATCTGGCTACTAGTCATCCCCTCTGGCATCTCAAAAATATTTCCAGCTTCACTCTTCCCTGTTTGATAATCAAAGGGCATACACCTGTTCAAGAAAGATGGTCCTAGAGCTTCAAGCAACTCGCAGCCAGCAGAGAACTTAAAAAGTGTGTCCGAGGAGTTGAAGTGAGTTGATTCAGCTGGATGGTCCAGTTTCTTCTCCAAATCCCCTTTGAATGTTATGTCTGAAGATTCAGGTGCATTCAACACCACATTTGGACAAAGATTAATGCTGTCTGACTTATCTCTATCACAAATGGTAGAGTCAAAGAGGTCTGCAGGGAAGCCTGCAAGATCAGCTCCAAGCTTTTCATTTGGAAGTACAAGATCAGATAGACTGACATTCTCCTTCATAAAACTATTTGAATGCATTGTTGTATTGTGCTCTGATCCCTGACCTAGATCTTTCCAGACACTACTCTCCCCTCCAAACATCCGATCACTAATTATATTCATCCCCAGTTGACTCCGGTGATCCAAATAGGAGGCATTTGATTTCAGATTAAGTAAATCGATGCTTTCATCATTTGTTGGTGTTGATATTTCAAGCACTTCTTGTTTATTTTTCAATTCAGCTGCTGTTTTCTGATAAATACCAGGATGGGAAGAAATGTAAGAAGAGATATAACTTTGTTTTTGTCAATAATACAACAAAGGCAACAAGTCATTTGATTTTTTCTTTGTATCTTCATTTATAACTGCATAAACCATCAGGAAAACCTTGAAGCCAAATAGGTAAATCTGGCTGAGAAAGGAAGCATTTTAGTATTACCAAAACCTCTTACATTCAATCTGTCAAGACAGTTCTACTTCAAGAAGTGAGTGCACACACCTTTCCACATGCATACACGCACGCGCGCACAGAGAGACAGACACACACACACCCACACCCACAGAGAGAGAGAGAGAGTTACCAGACATAATGCGTTCTTCATACTATGTTGCGATGGACTAGTAGCATGTGAGACTGTGGAATCTTGAAGTGCAAAAAAGACATCTTTAATATGTGTCACCAAATTCACATCCTCAATAACCTGCTCAACCCAAATGTGAATAGTAAAGCAAATTTAGATGGCAATGATGTGTAGATGAAAAAATTATAAAAAATGGAGCAGAATAGAACACATTAGCATGCAATTACATCAACCATGTGCTGATAAAAATAACTTCAAGAAACTCAATTTTGCAAGATATTTTTAAATGTAACAACAACCCAAGTCCAATATCAATTAAAAGTGCGAGCTAGTAATTTTGGATGATGAGCTTATGACATTACAAATGGTAACAGAGCCAGTTACACATGGCTAGCTAGCATGGTTTGTGGGCATCCCCATGTCTTAGGGGAGTGTTAAACTGGAATGCAAGCAGCTCAGGCTAATGGGTGCATTAATTTTTGGGTGGGACAGTCATGCTCCCAATCAAATATTAGAGGCATGGGAGAGAGGTCTTGAGTATATAAATCAAATTTGATAATCCCAAAAGCATCTCTTGCTACAACTTCGACAAATATTAGCCTGGGCATTATTGGGGGATTGAGTCATAACTAGACCCTCTGTTGATTTTTTATCTTGAGAAAACCTTGAACAGAAAATAAATGCCACCCCTTGGTCTCTGCAAAACAATTACATATGTCATCCTATGACTCTGATTGTGACTGCTTCCAACAGCCTAGTAGAATCCAAAAATGAGGATCTCAACCAGGGCAGAATTACATTGTATATTTCAATCGATCTCATCAAAAACACTGCTAACATCAATTTAGTTCAAGTAATCAGTAAACATGCATTTGCTCGATAGTGAATAACAAGTTAATCAGAAATTTTCTTACTTTATTCAAAGAGCCAAGCTGTACAACTCCATACGGAACAACAGCCACAACAACAATGGTCTGTGGAGAAAAACAAAACAATCCCATTAATATAAAGCAATCTCATTAATATAACAACATCAGCAAGGAAGCAAAAACACAAGTGCTAGAAACCCAAATATTCAATATATAGAAATCAATCCACAGTCACCATAGGACAAGAAAACCTCAATTATATCTAACATTACCAGGCCAGAATTCAATAGAAATTACAGGTTGTCTCCACTTATATCAACCTCAACAAAATGAGCCAGGTAATCATGACTCGTGAGTAAACAAGGCTAAACAATCCATCAGAGAATATCTCATTCACGCATATGATGTAATATTCGTTTAGTGATCACTTTTTATGGTCAATATGGAAATATTTAAAGCAGTGGATTCAGTATCCTGTCCCTGGAGTCTTGCTTACAGACAAGAACCATAAAACTAGCAATGTGACAAAGAAATTAGATGATGTTATATTGTTATTCAGTCCCCGCAAAGCCTTTCATCCTATGTCATTATGAACAATAAAACATAAAAAGAAAAATAACGCAAACATACCCTGATCCCAGCAGAAAACTGACTTTGCCAGCCATCAGAGAACTGAAAATCCCACCCACAAAAAAAATAAAATCATAAGAGTAAGATTTGATGAAAGAGAGATATTAAACCAAAAGAATGATGCTTAAGTGAAAAGACATTGTTACATTTTCCAATGGGAGTGTACAAAATAGCATATCTACTATTTCATTTCAAGGATAACCCTCACCTCATATGATGAGAAGGAATTAGTTACATGTTTATCTGCAAAGATCCACTGATGTTTTCCACTGACTGCCACCTGTCCAACAATCCTGTAAAACCAAGCATGAATCCAACTCAAACATGCCGATATGCACAGGAATATTTCAAAAGTCACAGACCAAACGTTTCCATATTAATTTTGCTTTATTAATTGTTTACGTGCGGATAAAAAATAAAGCATGCCGAATTTGAAAGGAGAGTAACTAAAATGAAGCATGCTTGAATAAAACCTCCACTAACACAGCATTGACAATTAAAAATACAAAGGAAAAGAGTCTATCAGTGAAATAACCCATACCCTTCCCCGAGAGAGTATACATGGTAAGACATCTTTGCCACAGCCAATCCAAGCGGGTCACGTGGATAGTGCCCGCCATGCAAATTTTCTTGTGTCTGCCTGAAGCACTTGTTCTCTAAAGCATCATGTTGCTCACAATTATCATAGTAGCCATCTTCCCAAGTTAACACCCTATTAATATTTAAAAAAAAAAAATTGAGATTCAAGGAACAATCTTACTCATAAGCTCTCCCCTCAAACAAGTGACCAATCAAAAAGAAGTGCTAAACATCATTAAATTAGAAACTAGCTGCATAAAATCACAACCACTACAGTTAACTAAAATGGAACAAAATTGAAGCAAAATTCGAAGTAACTTACATGCGAGCACGATGTTTAAGCTTCCAAAAAACAGCATAATTCCAATCAGTATTGAAGCAGAGGCTCCTCAAAGTATTGTGCAAGTCAGTACCCATCCCCAACCTTCCCCCTCCCCTCTCAAAATTCCTAACTCAAAGGCTCCTCGGTGCAAATTCCACCACCAAGAACCCAACTTTGTCAGTGAAAAAAAATCCTCACCCTCAAAACAAAAACCCTAATTTCACCTTACCTAGCTTCCTCTGTAAGATCCTCTTCCTGCCTGTTTTCTCCTTAACCCAGCTCTTGCTTTTATCGGTGGGGCTACTTTAGCCAAAAACAGACGATCTCTACCCATTCCCTCACTCATACACAACCCTCTTTTCACTCACTAACACCCAATTCAGCAAAAATAGAAACCCTTAAAAAGCTCACAAGTTGAAACAGCAGAAGCAATAAAACTCGAAACTTTCAAGATCAGAAGCAAGGATTTCAAAAGAGCAACATTCAGTGTATTTAGCCATGAAATTAGTAAAACAGAATTCAATCTCTCTCAAAAATCAAGCCAAATGAAAATGGGAAGTTTGAAGTAAAGGACTAGCTTATATCGGACGACATGGATCACACTCAAATCCTGACCTTAATTTTGAAAAACCACTCACAGAATTGGAAAATGATTTTCTGATTTTCACACACAGAATTTGATCCCAATGAACACCAGACAGCAGATAAAAGGAACAGGGAAATCAAGTGTTTGTTTCAGATTCTTGAAAAAAAAGAGTAAAGTTGGAATCTTTTAAGCTAGGAGAAATAAGAATTGATGAGGTTAAGAAATTCAAAGCTTTTTCATGGCAAAGACATATAAAGAGTGAAAAGAGTTTTTCTTTCCCCTTTTATAACTCTTTTCCTGAAAACAAATTCTAGAGAGAAAGAGGAGGGGGTGAGAGAGGGGCTTCGAAGGCTTTAGTATTTCTTTTCTGGTGTTAAGATTTTTATATATATACATATATAGTAAAACTAGCTGCAGCCCCTATTTGGCGCACTACCCTGTTCACTATAGCTTTCTTGACAGGAGAAAGAAAGAGTGCAAAACGATGACACCTGGGAGTCGTTTCACGCCTTGGTGCTGTGCGCAAGGGCATCATCATCTCTTATCCTACGCATCATGATGCGCACTTCAAACCTCTCCTTAGTGGTTGCGGCCATTTTTTTTAACACACAGGGGAGATTAGAGTTTGGAGGGTCTTGAGGGGTAATATTTATGGATGGAAGATCAACCAAAAATAGGTAATGCCATGAGTACACTTTCTAGGCAGTGTAATTTTATGGCCAACAAAATGATGCCCGAGTGAAGAAAATGCTTCTTATCTTTCTGTACAATTTCATGTTTTTGGAGGAAGCTCTTCTCTTTCTGTCTTCCCCCCATACATCTCTCGATCACCCTTTTTAAACCCAATGAACTTAACCCTCCCTTGGCCCTTTTCAACAATCATTTTATTGCCAAAAAAGTTGTGACACCTACCGCACCTCTCCCTTGCCGTTGTCCCCATTCACATTGTATGAGTTTCAACAACAAAATAAATAAAGATTGGGATTGAATTTCGATTCTCAGAGGGCTCTTCTTTTTCTTCCGCCACCCCCCTGTCGTTGCTCAATTGCTCGTTGAAGAACTAGTTTAGTGATATTGTATATACTGTTTTTTTTTTTAATTATAAACATGTTTGAAAGTATAATTATATTTGTTTTTTAAAATGTTTTATATATATATAATTTTTTTATTTTAAAAAAATTATATTTAAAATCAACCAAAATGATCCATAACATATAAAAAAATTAATTTTTAATTTTTAAAAATACATATTAGCTTCCATTTTTAACTCATATAAAAAATTAAACCGAATTTTAATTTTGATTGAATCAACCATTAAATTAATTTTACATTAACTTTTTTTAATATTAGATTAGGATTAGAAAGGAATCAGTTGAAGTCTAGTTAAAACCACAAAACTAAGTCGGGTTTAATAATGAGAGTAGTTTTTTTATAGTGAAAAAAAAAAATATATATATATATAAAAAAAAAACTATGCTAATTAACGATTTATTAAATCTTTCACTAAATCAACCCCCAGCAATCTATAGGGAAAAAAAGAAAGAAGCGTTCATCCAATTTTGTCCAGGCGGCTCCATTGTGATTTTAATTGTTTATAATGATCTCATGACATATTCATGAAATAATGTTTCCTGCGCCATACCAGCTCAACATCATTGTCCGAATCCCATGATTTTGTGTTCTAACAGTGGGATCTATGAGTGGTTATTATTGTCATTGATTTCTAATCATTTTCTATTATATATTTATTTCTTTTTTCACGTCGTTCTAGTTATTAGGGATTGGAGCTGGGGGCCATATATTTGTTGATCATGAACAGAAAAAAAAAAAAACATCATCCCATGATCAATAATCCAAAACAATCACCAACCGTTGTTTTTACTTTGATCTTAAAGATTTTATTTGTCGGAAGCATATCAAGAGACTTCACCCTATTCCACTAGCAAGTTTATTAGGCATAATCATGCATGGTTTTACTCTATTCTGTACATTATCTCTATCTTTTATGGTTACTTGTCATTTGTCATGCTTTATTCTCTCCCTTGCCAGTGTTGTTTAGATTACATTTTGATTTTTTTATCTTTTTTATCAAAGTAAATGACCGTGTGATACTGTAATTATTTTTATTTTTCAAGCTATTTTCTTACATAAAAAATAAATTAATATTTTTTTAAATGTCTTTCTAATATTAATTGAATTCGTTAAATTGATTTTTTTTTTTTTGCGTGGAGCAAATTAAAGTTTTGAATTCGTAATCTCTTTGGTTCAACATGAATGATAATGGCCTATGAACAACTGGGTTCGAAATGTCCAGCAGAGATTCAAAGAAGACTGTCTGCTCACCGTTCATCTCTTTCTTTCGTAAGAAATTCTATCTGGGTCAACACTGCATCTTATCTAAATCATGATGTAAATTGGTGACCATTGCCCTTCTTAATTTGACAGCGAAAAGCTTCATGAAATGCTTTTGAACAGTTTATAATTTTTCACTGGAGCTGCTGAGGCTTTCTTTTTCTTGTTTTCTTTTTCACACAGAGATGCTTATAGAATAAAGTCAACTGGAATTCTCCATGAATTGTTAAGCTGAGTTTTATAGTGATGCAAAATGATATGTCATTTTCCCATGAATATAGAACAGTAAAGAAATGAGTGGGATCATGAATGCTAGAGGACAAACAAGAATGATTAAACCTTATTTACAGATGTGTGTTTTTGTAATACGATGCGATGCATGTTGTTTTTATAAAAGTATGTTTTATAAAAAACAAAGTCAAAATATTGTTTTTTTATATTTTTTAAAAATTTAAATATTAAAACATGAAAATTATAGAAAAACATCTAAAAAAACATTAATTTAAAAAAAATAAAAAGCAATTAAACAGCGAAAACAAACACATTTATAATGTGTTTTGTTGAATTTTTTGTCCAGGGATTTATTTAAAATTATAGTAGTGAATATGGTTTAAATTATTTTTAATTTAAAAATATATTAAAATAATATTTTTTATTATTATAAATAATATTTATAATATTACCTTATCAAAATGAGCTAAAAATATTTAAAAAAATTTAAAATTTAAAATAAAATTTACACTGCTTTCCGAACATGCTATCAAATAAAGCCAGCCAGCTACATGGTCTCATTCCCAAATGAGGTAAATATTATGTAATGGTGCAAATAATGGAGTAGAGCAATTAATGGCGTTGCAGGTTTTAATTAGTTATTTCTTCCATTTTGCATTTGAACTGCAAGGTCACCTTTTTATCATTTCTGCCATCCCATCCTTTTCGTTTCTTCTCTTTCTCTACTCTCTCTCGGAGGAGGATTGGGAACCAAATCATCCCAAGTAGATTTTGTAGCTTAGCTTTTCACTAACATGTAATCCAGGAGGGTGACTCGCTGGTCTTCAAGCTCATGAGTGCTGGGTTGATATCTTTCTCACTTTGCATGATCTCCCAGTCAAAATAGTCGGGCGTGAAAATGGAAGACCCATTTTCAAGTACATTGTTCCTGCACATGATGCATATGTGACACTAGTGGCCATTACCTGAATAAACTATGTCCTTCCTTGTTAGGAAACAAGGATTGTAAAGAAGAAAAGTTGCAACCTTTCACCAAGAGTCAACTTGCCCTCAAATGTGGCGGATTCAATTTTTTGCGCCACCCCTTCTTAACCCAGTTCATTACTGACTGACTAACAGTGGCCCCAAGAAATCTAATGGAGGGAATCTAATGATCATTAGCACCAAAAGGGATTCTAGCCAGTAAAGCCCCTTTCACTACTGCTTCTATAAAATATATGCAGGTTCATGATTAGTCTGATAGAATTGAATTCCTCAGTCAAATGCAAATTATCTTGGTTAATGAAAAGATTAAGAAAGATGTGCGCATGTGGTCGAGAATCACAGATGGTTTCTTGGCTGCAAGCCATTAACATCATTGACTACGTTTTAATGGTTCTGATTTGGGGTAAAAAGCCATCGGCTTTTTCTAGGTTAAGTACATAGAACCAGAGGTGTAAGCCAGAAGCTATGTAGCCTGTCGTCTTCTACCTGGTCGACTTTTGTTTCATGTGATGTGATCATTGTAATTAGCGGGGCAATACCAGTCCAAGCCCTTGTGTGTTCTTGTCGTTAAAAAGGCTAATCTTTGAGTGAATGTTAAGATCATGAAATCAATGCAATCTATTCAAGTTATTGGGCGAATCAGGCCATGATCTTGAGTGATAAAGTTGTCAGGAAAAATCCAAAGCTCAAAGTTGTTTCAAGGAATCAAGCCTGCATGCTACATTCATGGAAAGATGAAACTAGGCTAAACCCCCCCCCCCCAAAAAAAAAAAAAAATCTAGTTTTTAAACTTATTTTAAAAACCTAATTTTATAAAAAAGATTAACTCACTATAACTAGATAAATTCAAAGATTAACTCACTATAACTAGATAAATTCAAAAAAAAACCCTTTAATTTAGACTAAAAAGATATTATTTAAACTATATATTTTTTATTTTTATTGCTTTTTATTTTTGAATTTTCTAATTTGTTTGGGACTTTCATTGTTTCTTCTTTTATTTCTCAATTTTTTAGTTTGTTGAAGTGGGTTTTTAAGTTTATTTAAGAAGTTATAAGCTTTTTTAAGAATAAAAAAAAATTAATAACAAAATTCCAAATTAAATTTTGTATGCAATAATCTTATTTAATAGAAGGATAATAGTCTTTCGTATATTGTTTTGATATCAAAATGACGCAACCCATAGAAGAGCTTTCTACCC